ATTTTTTTTTTTATTTATTTTTTTTATTTTTTTGGGGCTATGTGGGTGTTAAATTGTTAATTGAGTATCTTTTAATAAGAGATTAATTTGTAGAGTGAGGGAAGAAAAAAGTTCTCTCTTCGAGTGAGTTTGTATGAAGATCAAAATTTTATGTACGTTGTGGTTTGATATTTATGTTTAATAATATGCCCTTTTGTTTATTGATTTTGCACTAATTTGTGTATGTATTAGTGCTTGTATTTATGTTTTCAAGGTCAAGAGATAAATGATGGTAGAATATTTATCAATTTAATAATTTTTATCTATATTTGAATTTGATTACAATAATAATAATACTCATACTCATGTCAAATCCTATTAATTTATCATGCAAAGATAATAGATTTTAATATAAAGTTATATAAATATATATATATATATAAGATATGTGTCAGGTGGAATTATGTGGTTTTATTTATTATTATTGATTTATTTATTTTGTGGATCTTTCTAAACCATTAGGCAGATGGAGCCATTATATATATATTTTTTTACAAAAAAAGATATGCTTTGTTTATATTATTTTTTAGAATATGATATTTCAATTTGACAGTATGCATATAATATGACTAACTAAAATTGGTACACCTTATCATAAGTCTCACAATTAATTCATTAAATTAACTATCAAATCAACAAAATTATAATTATACGTTATTTATGTCATTCAATATCAGATCAAATTATTATTTAAGCATGACATTATTTAACTTTAAATATCAACGAACTTTAGGGAAAATAGTACGGTCCCGTTACGGTACCATCCACGTGTAGTTAGATAAGATAGACGATCCAACGCTTAAAACACTTGACGCCCGTAACGAGACCGTCACATTTCCCCGAATTTTATAAGTACAAAATATTTGTGCTCCATCATTATTTTAAGATAAGTATTAGTATGTTAAATTTGTATTATTCCAAAAATTTATATATGGCCAAAGTTAAAATTATTAGCTTTGAAAAGGGAAGTTGGGCTAATAAAAGCATAAGGTGGAACGAACACTGGGATTTAAGTGGCAATAAATGCTATTTGAGAAAAAATGGGTGACATAATTTATGACAATGTTCTCACATCTTCACAACTTATTTGACTGGGACAGCTATTTTTTACCTTATCTCAAATATATAATAATAAAAATAAAAAAAAATGTTGATTTTATGCATAAAAAATAATATTTTGATAATCAAAATATTAGTAGATAAGAAATTAACAAACATAATATACAAAGGAAATCACAAGTTCATTTTATGCATAAAAAATATTGGTAGTGCTATGTCCTTTTTTTTTAATATAATTTACAGTAAATAATGTAGATAATGAAAATATGGAGGATCTTAAATTATTATTTAAATAATATCAATGTTGAAAAAACTGTAGTTGTTGAATTTAATTTCTGTTCACCAATGCTACATACGTGTATATTAAGCAATAATCAGTTATTATTATTTGAAGCTAAAGAGCCAGACTTCATATTGTCGGTGGTTCTTCTAATGTCCATAGCCACTCTTTATTCCACCTCATGATAAAATCAGTGGAGTTATTATTAAGGAGACGCTACGGTCCCGTTACGGAATTATTTTGTCGGGATTTATAACAGGAGTTTATAATCGTTAGATCAAATATCTATGACGGTTATATGATGATCTAACAGTTACAAATCTTGATGGAATGTTCCGTAACGAGACCTTAGCATTTCCCTATTATTAATAAAAATATATATTTACCATGAAATATGGACATGTCATTAAACAAATCACAAAATATTTATTTAAACATAGGTTGGATGCATATCACATACGATGAATCAATTTTTTATTGTTCTCAACTATATAAAAAATAAAATAAAATGAAATATGGTTATGATTTTTCGTGAATTGCAATGTAATATATATATATATACACACACAAAAATTCTATGCAATCATTGAATGATTTTCTTATGGAGTCAATCATGATTTAGTGTATTAACACATGTCCAAAGTGTATTTATTGTAGAACACGTGTTAATA